GTGTGCTTCCAGATGTTATCTTCCATGAATTATAAATGTGGTATTCTCAAGGAAGTATTGATCTGCACAAGCTTGAGTAGAGACTCAAGAAATATTATATACTAATTTTCAAAAAATACAAATCAGTTATACTTGTACCGTCAGTGACACAAATCTTTTGATAATTCAAGATGTGTTACAGAAAATGACTCTGTTGGATGATTATTTCAGTCCGATTCCCTGATTTTATAATAAAGATGCTAAGACGTGCTTTTACCTCCAGGTGCTGAGGTTCTTCTTCAAACTGCTCAGGTATCCACAATTATTTTAGTTTACACAGTGTGGTGTAAACTAGAATCACTCAAAATTTATGCATAAATATACCCTCTCAGAGCATACTCAGCGATCAGATGCTGATCATATGTGAGATTTTGCAGAGCTCAGAATGAAAGTTGAACAGAATTGGTTGTTAAATACGATGGAAATAAGTTATGAAAAGGCAAGAACAAGGTTGAGCAGAATAGGAGAGCAAACTGTGAGCTCTTTGAAGATGGTCTGTGAAGAGTAGCGGAAAATTCTGATAACAGGTAAATGTTCTGTTAACCTTTAAAATACATTGATGCATCAGTAGTTAGAACTCAGGTTTGAAATCTAGACTTTGTTGGAGAAGCTGCTGCTTGCTTATGTGGAGGTTTTTTTTTTTTCCAACACAGCAAATAATGTTTGCAGTGTGTTAGAATTGATGTTTTTTTTCCGGTGTACATCAAAAGACACAAACAGGTAACTGAAGTAACAACATTTATGTTTTGGTCTGTGTTCATAGCCATTTTCTCATTAATGTCTTGGTATTTACAAATTTGTCACCTGACATGATAACTTATTTTTAAACGTATATTTTTAATGTGAGTTACACTATGAGCTTGCATCTCAAAATCTGAATGAACGATGATGAAAAATAGTGCCAACAGCCAGTCATGATTCAAAATATTTGTCTTGCATATGATGCCAACAAACTGCCTTTGTATGTAAGATGAAAAAGAAAAGGAAGTTCCCTATTTCTTACCATATGGTCTTGGCTTAGTTCTCTGCAAAAGTGGTTTCATCATTAAGGCCTTCTGTACTTTGTTCTCAAATGAAGAAAGTTATAGTCAATTGGAGTGACTTTTCAGGGGGGTAGATGGTGGAAGGGTTCATTTTAATAGTATTCATAGCATACACTGCCTGATAGTTACATCTGTTGTTCAGACTTGAAATTATTCCTGGTATTGTGCTTTTCACTCGTCTTCATTACATGTTAGCAGGTGCTTCCTTAGCTCTACCTATATGAGAGCTGAGGCTTAATTCTTTTTTGTTTGGTTGGTTTTGAAATGCTTGATATTTGCTTAGAAAGCTATTTCACTTGGGGTTGGAAAAATACCTTACAGGTGGTAGCCACTTCTACTAAAATAAGGACAGTAAAATGCCACTAGGAAGTTGAGGTAAATCTCAATGCAGCATCAGCAATATGTCCAGCTGTGCAAGTAAAGGACAAAAAGCCAAGTTTGAGTCCCAGAAAAGGAAGCTTGTACAGCAGTAGCAAGCAGAGAATCTCTGCTCTTCAGTTTTATGTGGTTGAGTTCCCTGCATATCCTGCCATAGAAATGTTCACAGGTGCCTTGTAGAATTTTTAGCCCAGGTCTGAATAGTAATTTGCTTAGACTGGGCAAGTACAGGCTTAGTTTGTTGCAAGGACTAGTTATGTCATATTGAAGCAGATCTGTAAATACCTTCCTCTCTACAAAACAAGTTTTCTTGTGAAATGGTACCTTTAAACAACATTCCTTTGTGTTTTGTTTTTGTTTTTGTTTTTTTCATAAGCAGGTAAGTCTTCATGTTGGTAGACCAATATGTGATAGAGCATTTGCAGGGTACCCTTCAATTTATCAATGCTATTCTGTTGTCTTTGTCTTGAAATACACATTTAATATCCTGTGTATATCAAATCCAATGTAATATTTTTTTTTTCTACTAAATACGGCTTTATTATGGTGGAATGTAGAAGTTGGTGTTCTGTATTTGTCATGAAGTAATCGGAGATAAAAATCGTCACCCAGCAGAATCAGCACAGGAAGGAAATTACTTAATTGCACAATGCGTTACCAAATCTTTTGACAGGACCAGAGGCAGTGAGCACAAACTGAAACACAGGCTGTGAACATCAGGAGACCCTTTTCAGTGTGAGGGTGACTGGGCACTGGCACAGATGGATCGGGGAGGTGGTGGAGTCTCCATCCTTGGAGATCAAAAGCTGTGGCTCTAGGTGCCCCTGCCTGAGCAGGGGGGTTGGGCCCGATGGTCTCTAGAGGTCCCTTTCAATAATAACCCTCCTGTGATTTTTGTCTTCTGAATAAAGCTTTGACTTTACTGAACTTTATATGAATTGACATTAAAACTCAGTTACATACTTAAGTATTTGAATACTTCCTTACTAGGTTCCGTTTCAATATAGATGTATGTATTGCTTAGTATTGTTAAATTTTACCTTTTCAAAAGAAGCTCTTCAGAGATGAAAGCTCTTTGAGTGAATCTTAAGTTGTTGCTCTTTATAAGGACTGTGCGACTACAGTTTGCCCCTCCCTTTCCCCTGGCACAGTCTCACGGCTTCAGAGACTTTAGCCCCACAAAGATACTCAATTCTGCTGTCATTATTTTGGAAGAGGAGTTTAGGACACTGGCCTAACTTTGCACCTGCTGCAAACATAACAGGTAAGGAATCCTACCGGAGGGAATGGGGAGTGTTATGTAAAGTTGTGTAAAGCAGCATTGCTAACACTTCAGAAGTGCATGTGCTGTGTTTCAGTGAGTTTCACAATTCCTTATGAATGCTGTTTTTTTAAGAATTGGAGAAGCTGGATTATGAACAGTCTAGGAGGTTTTCCTTGAAACTTCGTTCCCCACCATATTTTTGGAAGATTCAAAATAACCTCCAACTAGTGAGGTCATCACATCTCAACTATATATTAAGTAGTTCTTTAAAAGTTTCTGCTGATTTTTATGTGGTCTTGAAATGATGAAAAAACTGTCTCTTAGTGTTTACCTATACACATTTTTGCTACAAAGAATTATTTTGAAGTCAAATAAATTGATACTAATAAAACTATGCCTATTTAAATGTGTCTAAAGTTTTCTTAGGGTTTCTCTTATCTCGTTGTATAAATGTAAACTTGTTTGCACAGTGTGTAGCACAATGATATCCTGACTTCTATTAAAGTAGGAGAGCAGTACTGATACTACTTAATTCTATGTTAGCAGTGCTGGTTTAACTGTATCTCATTTGCAGCAGACTTCAAAATTTACTTCAAACAAGCCATAAGTTTCTGTGATAGATGAACTCAGAACTTCTAGAACCTGACATAAAACAAGCTAATGAAATTCTAACTGTAGCTTCCAATGCTGAGTCATGAAACAGTTTCAGATGCTTTTTAACTGTCAGGCTTCTTAAGTTTTCTTTGTTAATTGGTGAAGTCACATCTATACGTCATTATTTCTAGGTGAAAGAGATGATAAGAAAGGTTATTCCCTGCATCAGTTTTATACTTAGCTGTTAGGATAAGGTAAAGTATCACAAATGCTCAGGAACTTTGCATCTGTGTAACAGGGCACGTGAGTTCAGAATGGAGAAAATGATACTTTTGGATGTTTTTCCAAGCTGTTCAGCATGAACACAGTCATTGAAAGTCGAAATCTGAACATCTGAAGATATTTCTGCTGTATCAGTGACAACATACATAGAACGGATAATAATGAGAGTCACTGATCAGCCAGCTATTCTGGTGCTGCAGACTCCTCAACTTGACATTGGAATATAGGGGAGGGGGCCGTATTAAAAAATATGGGCTTGAGTTGCTGTTTCATATAGGATTATTTTAATGACTTTATATGCCTCAGAGTTCACAAAATTTTGCAAAAATAAAATGTATATATTCATATATAATGTAGGTCTAAAAATATAACCTTTTAATTATATTGTGTAAAGCCTGCGTGGTGTTGAAAAGTTAGACTTCATTCCCTTCTGCTAATCAAATCCAAATTTGTTTGAAATTGTAGGAATCATCTTTTTTACAAAAAAAATGGATCCTCCTTTTGTATTAAATGCATGATCTTACATCTCGGAACATGATGACTCATCAATGAACAATTGTTATTAAATTTAGAAAGTACTTATAAATTTCAATGTCTTCAAATTCAGATCTTGCTTAAGCTGCACAGATGAAATCTTTGTCCATTCTGTTTAAATATTTTCAGATATGCTCATCATTCCCCAAATACTGAATAAATAGTTTAACTGCTGTATGAGTGAAGTTTTGCAGTCCAGACAAAACAGAAGAACATATGTTCCTTGATCATAGTATTGTCACTGGTATGGGTTTATTACCAAGCAGCTAGTAACTGCTGTTTTTACTTTCTTGAGATCTGGTTACAGAAGAGGAATATTACTACATTCACATTCCTCATTCTGTTTAAGGTGCTAACTTATAAATCGGCAGTTTTGAAATAGATGTAAAATGCTTTTAATAGTCTTGTCAAGGACATTGAATGCCTTGCTAGCTCAGTTCAAGTAGTATTTGCCCTTTTGTTTCTAGGAACTTAATTTTTCTTTTGAGCCTTAATTTGGTAATGTTAACTTTTTTCCCTTAAATACTTGCTTGTAGCTGTCTGAAAGTATGTATTCTTAAGGAGAGAATTTGGGGAATGTAAGATTGGGAAAGGTTATGTAGCATTTTCTCTCCTGTAATCACTGGCAGCCGTGCAGTGATGCCCAGGTGACAATTGATTTACTCTGATGGTTTTATTGTTGCACATGTGTGCTTTTGTGCTCAGCAGGGGCTACTCAGGATTAAGGTGAGCAGGTTTGGTCAAATGACTAAAAATGAAGAGAAGAATGGGGAGGAAAAGACTTCTTGACCATTTAAAGATGTCTAGCACTGTATCTTCTGTTAGTACATCAGCAGCCAACACTGTTATCTGTTACCTTTTGATAGGTAAACCTGAACAAATGCAAACATGAACACAGCTCTGCGGATCATCTTGGGTTCCCTTTGGAAACCCCAAATCAGTGGCCACAAGGGATTGTGTGTTTTCCTGAGAACAGCTCGGCATTGGAGTCCTTCCTGTGTGTGATGGATAGTGGCTCTGCTACTCTCAAAATGATACCTGTGCCTGCTGGTGCAAAATGTCATATGGCTCACTTCAGTGGAAGTCAAAATTTACCCATGCTGCTATTCTCTGTTGCTAGGTAATTTTTAAAGTAGACATAAAATAAAGGGAGAAATATAAGGGGGAAGCTCTTTGTTACAGTAGCCACCAAAAATTCTGTTAATTACAAAAAAAAAAAAAAAAAAAAACCCACAACAAAAAAACAAAACAAAACAAAACAAAACAAAACAGACAAAAAAAACAAACCAGCAACCTGTTCTGTCAGTCACGTCAGTGAAGCAGCATAGCATCGGTGTGCAAGGTAAACATAAAAGGTCCGTCTGTTGTAGGGTGTGATGGCTGTTGGTGCTTGGTCTGCTGCCGTGGCAGCCTGGAGCTTGTCTCGCATAGCAATTCTGTGTTGGAAAGACAGCAGTGGAGAGTACTCTGTTATGCTGCGTATGTGTTACTTGAGAGAAGTTGTACTGAAGAGCTGGTTTTCAATTTTCCTCGATAATAGCAAAATGTATGCACAGTATTGCTTAGTTTGTGTATGATGCATCTGCTCTCTTCAGAAATAGGCATGTTTATCACGCTGTTAGCCTTTTAGAATATTTCAGATTCATTTTGCTTGGCACCATACCCACTTTGAGCTTTAAAAGAAAAGCTTTATCATACGAATGAAGATGATTCAGAGTCTGTTACTTTGAAAATAACAATTTGCTGTATTCCTGTTCACTCTTACAAATCCCCTTTTTCAGCACTAGCTGCTAGGATATGTTCAGGTCTAACAAAGTAATTGCTGTTAATCATAAACAGTAGGGTTTACATAGGATAGAGAGGTTGGAATGATCTTAATTTCTTGTAGAGAGAGAATCATGAAGAAGTAGTGCAGAACCAGAGACATATTCGTAAAAACACAACAAAAAACCACAAACCCAACAAACAAACCAAAAGACCCCTACCAACCAGAGGCACTATCATCACTTTGTAAGTATTTGAGTTCTGGTAAATGATTAATTTGTAACTCTACCATGTGGTCTTACTGGCTGGGTTTAAGGATTGTCTTCAAAAACATAGCAGTTTTACTTGGCTACAATTTTGTCACTAGTATCTAGGAGTTGTCAAGAATCTGGCTCACTGCTTTCTCTTCAGGAAATCTGGGTGGCAGGAGAAGGTAGTAATACACATTGGCTGATACAGAAACTAGAAAAACCATGTTAGGCCTTTGGAGGTCTTAGCCTTGCTGTTTGTAGATAGGGGGGAAAAAAAGGAGGAAAAGCCTGATTTGGGGTTTTTTCATAATATTAAAATACAGACTGGAAGACATGCAGTTTGTGTAATTGTAGCTTCCCTTTAAGATGGGTACACATTTATCCATAGCTGGATTAGTTTCACCATGTGGAGGTAATGTCCCAGGACATTAATATTTGTGCAGATGAGGATTCCAGCCTGGTCCCTGTGGCTGGCAGTCATTGCTTGTGGCCGTTACTGCATTTGACCTGCCGAATGATTTAATACTAGCACCTGCAAAATTATCGCTCTAGTTTTAAAGGGTTATGTGCTCTGTCATATCTGCTTTAGGAAGAAAGTATCCATGTTGCTGAATGTCTGTGTTATGGAATAGATAACAGAACTTTTGAAACTTGATATACAGCAAGCTGCACCATGGGGGGGAAAAGATGAGAAGGAAGCAAATGGGAGAATTGATGAATTAACAGCACTTTTAATAGGACTCAGACATTAAATTATGCCAACTTTGAAACTCTATTTTTTTCTCAGCTGCTAGCCTCAGCCTTTTTTTCAGATGTATCTGATAAGGTAAATGTTACTGTTAGTGTAAATGTGGTTGTGTGTTGTAATTTTCCTGTGTGTCACTTCTGAGTTGCTTTTTGAGGCTGTTCCTGAAGTGAAGCTAGCCTGAAAGGTGCAACCGTTGTGTGGATTTCCAAAGTAATTCTTTCTGTAACAAACACTTCACAGGCTGTGCTAAGTTTTCTGATCATCAGGGGGGACCTCGGGGTGTTGGTAAATTGTTTTAAGTAGTCTTTATCAGAGAACATACAGAGTTGTTCATCCTCTTGCACTGGTGTAATCGGGGGCTTTCCAGGCAGTCTTCCTCCCTGCAGAGATTTCTTTAGGGCTCCTTGGCTCTGCAACATGTTTGTATGTCTGCTTCCCCAGCCCGAGTAATGGATTCTGTTAAACCTATCAAATATTACAGTACTCACGTTATTTTAGATCAGAGGGTTTTGTGGAGAAGAGGTGATTTTAATTTGGGGCAGGGGAGGAGGGAGTGTGTGCGCATGGATGAGAGCAGTTTTGAAGCCTGAATGGCTGGGGCAGGGAGCTGTTGAATTTTAAATAGTTTGGATCATTATTTTGCATGTGGACTCTGGAAGATGACACGCAGTTCAAGATGGATACCCTTATTAACATTTTCAGTTATTACCTAGGCCTTTTTGAATGTCCTTACAACAATTTCAATTATTAATAAATATAATAGGAATAAAATTATACTCTGACTTGCCATCTGTGCTTCCAACTAACTGCAAATGCAAGCAGATCTATTGCAGAAGTTTTAAAATTACAAGTCTTACACTCTTGCATCAATTTCTAATGCTTTTAGTATTAAAATGTATTTTAATGAGACTTGTATGCAGTTCTGTTCTGAGATGTTGTTATAAAGCAGGACAAAGTTTTAGTCCAGTCATATTATTTTCATATATAGCTTTGCCCCTTTTGAGTATCTGTTAAGTGTCTGTACCACAGCAGGCTGCAGAACGGGGAGGAAGCAATCTGTGCTTCCCAGTGAGAGCAGTCGGTTCTCAAGTTTCATTAATAACTGTGTTGTGTGCAGGGATCCTAATTATTGTAGTGGCAATAATAGGAGGAGGATTGAAATGCTGCTTTGTCCACATGCATTGGCAGGCCTAGAAGACAACAGTATTGTGTTTGATATGTTTGTTTTAAAAATCCTCCAAAGAAAAATGACCTGGGGCTCTTTGGAGCAGAACTGCTCTTAATCTATTCCAAGCAGAAGTATGAAAATCTCGGAATTTGTTAATGTTCTTGGAACAGCTGTTTTTTAACTGCTGAGGTTGTAAAATTAAAATCTTTAGAGAAATCTGTGTAGTAACAACTGAGTGGTAAGAATGGGTAGAGAATAAATGGATTTTTTTTCTGGTAATGTGAAGTTTTATTATGGTTTATTTCTCCATATTATACTTACGGGTATTTGAAAAGAAAAGCTACTGTATTGTCTAATTTGTTTGAAATGTCACAGTTATTTACTGTCTCTTTATTTTTTAGGTTACTATTAAAATCTTAAAATGCAGATGAAGACTGGCTTGTGCAGAATCCTTCTGCTGTTTTATGCATACAAAAGGAAATCCTAAACCAAGTTTTAGTATGAGGTATGTATTAGGATATTCAGTTTTATTTAGCAATTACTGAAATTAGGAGCCCTCTTTTTGTTCACATTTGCAATTTGATGTAGAGTAATTCTCCTTCTACACTTAAACTAATACTTGCTTTCATACAGTGTAATTCTTTGCATAATTTATCAGACGTTAATGTGTTTTTAAAGTACTGAAAGTATATGTACACAGCCTCTTGCAGACAGTTCAAGATCTGTCTAGCCATAATGTGTCTTACATCTAAAACCCATAGTGTCAAAAGAATATGATGCCAAGTCTGAGCTACTGGATGTTATTGATACCTTGCACTCAGAATCCCGTTTGTACAGTCAACATTGTAGTTTCTGATTCTGACCAGTCCTCGGGATTAGCCAGTCGGCTTCGGCCTGGAGGGCTGGTCCTGTGTGCTCTGTAAAACCTGGGGTTGAGTTCAGTTTGTGTACAAACAGGCATGTGGTGTCATCTGCCCTGGGTGTTGGAATCACCTCCGTGAGACTAACAGATAAGAAGGTTTTAAAGGGGTATTTATGCAGCTTGGTTTGGTAATTCTGATAGTTCTGAAATTCAAAAATACCACTTGCTTTTATAAAGTAAAAATTTTAATTTTAAACACTGATGGGATTTGACAGAGGTGTGCAAGTTCTGCTGATAAAGCAAGAAGGATTTGGGTTAGTTCTCTGTGTTTATTTGGCCTAGTAAATGTACTCAGAGCTGTCTCTCTAGTGGTGTTAAATAGAGAACTAGATATGTATAAAGAACAGGATATATTGAGCTATTTATTAATGACGTGAAATATGTCCCTCCCCATGGCAGGGGGCTTGAACTAGATGATCTTCAAAGGTCCCATCCAAACCAAACCATTCTGTGATTCTATAGTAGTAGTGTATATGATTTATTGCTAATTAGAGGGGGGTCCCTTTACTGATTTCTAAGTCAGCTGGTAAATTAAGTGTGGGAAGTAAGCAGTAAAACCTCAGAGTTGCATGGGAAGTATAAATGTGATGGGGTCCTTTTTCATTCTGTAAAAAGCATAGGAACGGCAACATGAGAGAAGTCTTTCTGCAGTCATACATCTCACACTGTACTGTGAGTTGTAACTAATACTGAAAAACTGCCCTCGTGGTATTTGATTCCCAAGACTGAAATAGTTCAAAATTTCTACTCAAGACAGGCAGAATCCTATTACACTCTCCACAGAAACTATCTACTTTTTTCCTACCTTTTACTTCCAATCTGCTATGCATTATTGTTCCAACCCCTGCTCAAAGCAGGATGTCGGGTACAGCAGGTTGCCCTGAACTGTATTCATTTGGGTTTGGTCTCCAAGAAATGGAGACTCCACAACCTCTCTGGGCATCTGTACCAGTGTTTGGTCACCCTCACAGTAAAAGTTCCCTCGTGTTCACAGGGAACCTCCCGTGTACCAGTTTGTGCCCATTGCCTCTGGTCCTGTCACTGGGCACCACTGGGAAAACTCTGCCATCCTTATACCCTCTCATTAGATGTTTATAAATATTTATAAGATTTTGCCCTGCCTCCTCCAGGCTGAACAGTCCCAGCACCTTCAGCCTTTTAGAACATGAAAGATGCCCCAGTCCCTCAGTTGTCTTCCATTCACCGAACCTCGATCCAGTATGTCCATGTCTCTTGTACTGAGGAGCACAGCACAGGACACAACGCCCCAGATGTCTCACCAGTGCTGAGTAGAGGGGAAAGATCACCTCTGCTGGCAACTTTCTGTGTAGTGCACTGCAGGATGCCCTTGGCCTTCTTTGTGGCCAGGTCACATTCTTTGCTCGTGATGGTTCTTGGACTTGGTATTTAGCAGGACCCTTGGGTTTTACCTCTAGAGCTGCTTTCCATCCAGTTGGCCTCCAGCCTGTCTTGGTGCCTGGGATCATTCCTCCCCAAGTGCACGATTTGGCATTTCCCTCTGCTGAACTTGGTGAGATCCTTTGGGCCCATTTCTCCAGCCTGTCAAGGCCCCTCTGGCGTATCAGCCGCTCTCAGCTTTGTCTCACCTGCAGACTTGCTGAGGATGTGCTCTGTCCCATCAACCAGGTCATAAATACAACGTTGAAAAGGACTGGCCTCAGTACTGAGGTACCCTGCTACTTACAGGCCTCCACCTGGGCTTTGTGCTGTTGATCACAACCTTCTGGGCGCGGGTGTTCAGCCAGTTTTCAGTCTGCCTCACTGTCCACTTACCAAGCCTGTGCTTCATCTGTTTGTCCATGAAGGTATTATGGCAGACTGTCAAAAGCCTTCTGAGGTGAAGGCAGGCAATATCCAGTGCTCTCCCCATAGCCACTGAACTGATCAGCATAGCAGGCTGATAGGTTAGGATCCTTAAGGATTTGCAAATGACCCCTTTATAAATCCATGCTGATGACTCCCAGTTACCTACTTGGTCTGGAAATTGTCTCCAGCAGTAGCTGGGCCATCACCTTTGCAGGGCCTGGAGTTCCCTGGGTCCTTCTTGAAGATAGCAGTGACATTTGCTTTTGCCTTGTCCGCACACATCTCTCCCGGTTGCCATCCCCTTTGGGCACAGAGCGTGGCCTGCCAGTGCCAGCAGCCAGCTCCCTCGGCTGCCTCCCATCAGGCCCAACACACTTCACTTGTGTCCAGTTTAAGTGTTCCCTAACCTGGGCCCTGTTACCTATTTGATACTGGAGGGGGAAGGGAGGGGTAGGGAGCAGGGGCTCAGGAGATGGGAGAACTGATATGCACCTTGTTTCATGGTTTTGCTTTGCTTTTTACTAAGGAGTTCCCTGTTGCTCTCTAGTTGTAGTAAAATTGTAATAAAAAAATAATCACAACAATGATGTAGGATATAAAAATAACCACACAATAATGTGTAATGTACACCAGGCTATGGAAATAAGCAAGGTACAAGCATTTACTCACAAAATTAAAAAAGGACAATACAGTTAGAACTGTTTATCAGAACAGTAGTAACAGAAACACTCTTTTTCAAAGTTTGACCCAAAAGAGATTTTTTTTGTCCAGCTGACAATTTGTCTTGACCATGTAGCTGTTGGGAATTCAGTATTGCTTGTCCTTACGTATCAGACTGCCCCTGTGCAAAAGTCATTTGGGAGTCTCAGTGTTTGGCAGGTTTCCCAGGCACCTCAGAATTTTTCTGTCCTCAACTTAGTTTCCTTCCTGTGAAGGGAAGAGCGGATGGCCAAGGTTCCTTGGGGATACAAGTGTTTCTTTCACTGGCTAAGTAATGACTCCTTGTCTCAGTGGAGTGATAAAATCCTTTTTCTCTCTCTCCATTATTAATCTGTGTGTGTGCATGTCAGATTGCAGTGTGAACCTGGCTGACAAAGCCTAATGGCCTAATTAAATAGCATTAAAAATTGAGGGAAAATGGGGTAAAAATGTGAGTAAGTTGCATTGTATTTGGGGCAGAGTGTGCAACAGCACACTGTGAAAAAGCTGCAAAAGGCTGGGAGAGTGAGCCAAATTAGTCATGTTAAAAAAAAGTTACACCTGCTCAGTTTGATTCCAGGTAACTTCTTGGAAGGGCTGTCTGTGAAAGCGCTAGTGCTTCCCAGCTCTTTATCCAACTATATTTGCTAATGGATTGCTCTGTAGTTTGCCATTTGAGTCTTCTTGTTTGCTGTACTTTGATTACAAAAATACGTTTTCAAGGAAGTTATCACTTCAGCATCTCTTGTAACTCCTCAGCCTGAATCCTACTTATTTCCTGAAAATGTTCTCCGTTGCGTTAGGTTTTGGGGAATACTGCTGGTGGCTAGGTGCCCTCAGAACTGAGATGGCTTTCTGCTGTACCACGGTCATGTGCAAAAGTGGGAATTACAGGGACCACCAGGGGTGAGAGTATAATTGTGTTGTCACTCATTGGAGCACTTAGCTAACAGTGGTTGTGACTTTTGTGATGAATTTGTTCACTTTGTGTTCGGTTAGCAGCCTCTTTGTATTATTTGTGTGCATAACAAGCGGTTAGTTTTCTCTGTGTTCTTGGGTATAAGAATAATGCTGTTACCTAATAAAACAGTAATGAAGTCTGCAGCACCTCGCTTGAACAGTGGAGAGGGACGATTTGATCACTCTCAATTAAGCTGTATTCTTTCTGATTGTAACCAGGCCTGCCCTTGTGAGACCTGAGGCCATGGGGCCGTTTGAAACCATGGGGTGGGTCCCGCACCAGCACCCCAGACTGGGAAGGACACATCAGAAGAATCTGAAAATGGTGTCTGCTTGTGAGGTTCAAGATGCCTTTTCCTGTACGAGGAGACGAGTTACAGCTTTTATGATGTTACTGGCTTCAGCCTGCGGCAGAGAAGGTGATGCCCAGTGGTAAGCAAAGTTGAACATTTCGTAGTAAAGCTGATGTTGGCCAACTCTGATGTGTTTGACTGAAGTCTTGACTCCCTTTTTATCTAGACTGTACTGGAAGCAGATTTTCTTTCCAGAAATACTAGTGCTGGGAAATGGTGTTGATAAAAGGATTAAAGTTTGTATGCTACAACAGGAACCAGAGTAAATGATCTATTGAAAGACTGCTCCTTGGTTAAATGTTTGGTTTTGGACTAAAAGTCTTTAGAGCTAAATGAAATAAGAAAGTATTTTCAAGAAGAAAAATACGTGTCAAAAGTGGTTGGTTTTATATTTAAAGAAAAAACAATAGTGTGGATTGTATTTTAAGTTGCAGTAGAATTGTACCTAGTGAAAATGGTATGAGCCAGCAACAGCTGAACAGGACTGGAAGGAACTGTTAACTACTGGGGAGATTAAAGCTGCAGTAAGATTTCACTGTGCAGTTAAATCTGAATTGGAAGTTATGATAAAAATGCCTGCTCTCTTAAAGTAGCCCAATAAAAAGATGAAATGAATGAGTAATGAAAAATGAATTTTGATGCGATTTTTACATTGCATTGTAACACATCCAGGTTTTTTTCAGGGTTTCTGTGTCCATTATAAAACTGTTTTAAATTAATCAATGTTTATTTTCTATTTCCTTAAGTCAGCAAAGCGGTGAACATGAATGAAGGGCCTGATGGGAACCTGATGAAAAAAAAAAGGCAAATGCCAAGTCCTGTGGTGGGTACAGAATGAACCTGATGCAGCTGTGCAGCCTGGGCACACACCGGTGCTGAAGCTGCTTTGCAGAAGCCGATCTGGGAGTCTTGAGGGACAAGTGAAGAAGGAGGTGTCCAACCCCATTCCGGGCTCCATGGGAAGACCAGCGGCAAGAGACACAATTTTCCCTCCCTGTTTAGTGCTGCTGTGACCAGTTCTGGGGTCCTGAAGACAATGTGTATATGGGAACAAGTCTGGTGGAGGCCACCAAGATGATCAGGAGATGAAAGCGTAGGAGCTGTGGGGGTAGACAGCAGGGTTTGTTCAGTTTGGGAAAGATGAGGTAGGGGAGTAGGAAATTTTCTTCCTGCAGCTGCATAATGGAAAGGGGTAGAGAAGATGAAGCCAGACTCATCTTAGCAGTGCACAGTACTGAGGAAGTCCCATATAATTCTCAGTGTGTGTAAGTGTTGCATCGTACCGCTAATAAAAACAGTGCAAGCCAGTACTGTCTTGCTGTACTTAACTGGTCTCCCCACCCTGGGAGTTCCCTTTTGTTGCAGGAAGGGGGATGCAGGGGACCCAGGCTGGGGGCTTGTGTGGGGTGACGTTTGCTTGTGGGTTCACTTGTGGTTTGACATCCAGGAAAACAAGGGAAATCTCAAATGCTTTGGCATCTGTGAAAACACTTCCAGACAGGATCTCAGCCAGCTGGGTAAAGCCTTTTAAATAAATACGCACATAAGCAGAGCCTTCACAGGCTGGGGCTGTTACAGTTTGTGGAAGGGGTAGCAGCTTTTCCCCCGTAACAGGGATGACTGTGTTCAGTGTAAGATGTGCAACTGCTATAACAGGCCTCACTGGATTTTCTTCCCCAAATTCATATTCTCTCTACTTGGCTGTGGAGAGCCTGTACAAGTAACAGCTCCAGGGAACAAGACTTCTTGTCAGAAAGTGGAGGGTCGTGATAGAGATCGAGATGTCACCATGTGGGTAATTCTGTCTTCCAGCTCTGGATGAACACATCTGTGCTGCTGGCACATGCCTCAACAGTTGCAGTGAATCCCTGGGTATGGGGACGATGCCCTCAGCTCCCAGGCACATGGTTTGGGTTGTCTCAAAAGCAGAGCTGTGCCTGCTCTTGGTTTGAGGGGCGTGCACATGCAAGCAGTGAGGCAAGGGGAAGGTCTGACCCACCTACTCTAGATGAGTTCCTTATGATTCAAATCATGTAGGGAGAATTACAGAAATTCTTGAAGAAAGTTCAGTTGTAGCTTTCTGTCTGACAGTTGAGACTCTGCTGTGGAGAAAGGGTTGATATGAAATCAAAAAGAACAATCTTCTGCCTGGTCCTTTCCTCCTGCCTGCTGTACTTAACGTTTGAGATTTTTTTTTTTTAACAGACCCTTTTCTAACCTTAATTTTTACTGCTGCCTCAGTCCAGCTCAGATTTGTATTCATTGCTGTCTTTTATCTGCATTTAGTGTTTTTTTTTCCTCCTAACTCTGGTCTTTGTCTTTCATTCAACATTTTAACAGTTTCTAAATCTGCAAAATATTTCCCCCCTTTATGTGGGAGACAGAAAAGCTGAGGAATTCTGAAGTGCCAGGATTCAGTGATGGGCTTGCAGTGTGTGCCCCTGCTGCACCAGTAGCTTAGCAAAACACGGCCTTTAGAGCTCTCTTGCATTCGCAACAGGTGAGACTCCAGCAAAACTGAAAGTGCTGCTGTAGGAATGCATCTGCAGGGTCACCTCAGCTCCCATGCTCCTAGACTGCCACTGCTCTGAAAGACATGAAAAACAAAAAGATTTCACCCTGGCCCTTTTCCAGTATGTAGGGGAAGGCAGAGGGTGAGAACAGAACAGGAGCAGGTAGACAGGCACAAGGTTTCCAGGTGGCCCTGGGGCACCTGGAGCAATCCTACCTGGGGAAGGTGGCAGCTGTACTCTGCCACCTGTCTCTTCTGTGTACTGAAACAGCTTGCTTCCTTCCAGACTGATCAGAAAACACCTCATTTTGGAGGAAAAAAAAAAAAAAAAAAAAAAAAAAAAAAAGGGTGCAGAAAGCACAGAGGACCTGGGACAGGCAGCTGCATCACCCACCACCTCTCAGTATCTGTGAGAGAGGCCAGGAACCGATGATGCAGCAGTGAAAGATAATGAATCCAAGTCTTCAGAACATCCTGCCACTGCAGCTTAGGGGAACTGCACCTGCTTAGCTGTGCTGACAGAGGAGCAAGAAGAAACCGAGCAAGTAGTTCAAAGGTATTTCTCCACAGTGCCTAAAGAATTGGTTCTTATTGTAGCTACTTTCTCTTCATTTTTTGTCCACCAAAACCTTTTCCTTTGCAAATGGATAAAAACCATATGATAAAATCAGACCAAAACCAGCTTCAAACATCATTTCATATGCCTTTTATGCATCTTCAGTAAGGATTCTGAATTTGTATTGCCAACTAAAAGAGAAAGATGGCTGTAAAATCCATCCCTTAATAAAAGCATCATAAATCCATATTTTATTCCCATGTCCAGTAGACCTCCTCCCTCAAGGGAAAACACCACCGCCAAAATCAGCAGCCTTTGACAAACTACATGCTATGTCAACTCCTGGAGCATTAGCAGACATTTTTAGGTTAGACTGTACACGTTTCTAAATAGCATCTATGTTATATGGACATTTGTTCAAAACCCATCCCCACCTTGAACAGTTCAGCTATTTACCCTGACACGTGCTGTACAGCACCTTTCACACCCATGCTCTCTAGTGCCATGTACAGTGGTAACTGAGGAAGGGGGTAGCCCCACACAGGGAACCTGTCACTCCAAGGAAACACTTCTCCAGGTCCCCTTTCCTTGTTCATCTTCCAGGGTTACACACAGTGACTCACACGAACTAGAGCTACACCACAGCCCAAGTCCTGGCAGCGACAGACCTGATTCTCAGCGTGTGCTTTTCATGCATTTCAGTTGTTCACACTGAGCAGAATGAGGTATCTAACGTATTTCAGAGGTGGAGGTACCAAGTCTGTTAAAAACCCAGACTTGTTAACGTCCCATCAATACTGTTTGCAAAAAGCTAGGCAACTAGTCTAAGTTAAAACAGAACGGAGTAGTTGTATGTCATGTTATTGTTCTGGTTTTATTTAGCTTAATGTGACATTCCACAAAATTGAAATAATAGTGTACTGTTACTTATTCATTTGGCATCTCTTAAAAACTAGTTAATTGAACTTCATCTTAAAAAGTCACAGTTCTTAAAAGGATACTTAATAAAGCTGTACCATTTTGATGGTGATTGCTCAAATACATTAAGAATTTATCCCCAATAGTTTTGCTACTAATATAGGCACAGAGTGGCATGTAAACTGTGGGTGGCAACCAGAACAGCAAAGGCACAATCATCTGGATTATTTTTCTTTTTTTTTTTTTTTTTTTTTTTATTTTTCAAGATGTCGCTTAATTTACAAAGAAAAATATTCTATACTTCATGAAGTATTTTATAGCACAGGACCATTACAGAACTGCCATCATCTGATAAAATGGATTATTTAAATTAAAAAAAAAAAAAAAAAGATAGCAGCTCTTTGCACTGAGGAACTGAATTTCTGATTTAAAGGACAATACATGTTCTCATCTGTCAGGCTGAGAACGCCTGAAATCCCCCATCTATATTCTTGTCTACAAAAGCACTGCCCGCACATTTAAGGTAGTTACAAGTTTTCTAGTTTGCTATCTTCAGCTTGTTTCCCCATATCTCACTTGACTAAGAACTCAAAAGTTAAGATGTCTGTAAAACTTGGTTGCTTCTCTAATACAAAAGTAATTTTAAAACAGATATAACTAGGAATCTGACTGCAATCCTCTATGAATTGAGCCTGTTCAGATGTCTTTGCTCACACCCGCAGACCTAACTGTGTGTGTTCAAAGGGAATCACTCTCAGCACAACTGCTTTCTCAGCAGGAGACAGCAGCAGGAACAGTTCCAAACCAGAACACAGCCCTCAGCAATTCAAAGTTAAATCTAATGCAGTGACTTCCAAGTGTAATTTTTGCCCGTGGCTCCAAGAAGATGACAGTTCTGCATTTGACATAGAAACATTACAGTTAGGTAAGTAGAAAATCTTAGTGTACAAATGGAAAAGATCTTTCTATTAAAAAAGACATTTCACGTAGTTACCTTAAATAGTTCTTATATGCACCATTCCACATTGTGGAAAAGCTGAAATATGCAGTCTGGACTCCACAAGTTAAAGAAAAACAGAATTATATGTATTGGCACAAATACTTACATCTACATCTGTACAAAGTAAAAAAGAAAAAAAAAAGCTGACAACCCTGTCCCACCAGTGCAGCGTATCACTGGTCTCCAACACACTTTCCTACGTGACTGCCAACGAGCGACAGTGAGCTGGGAACTTCCTCTGAAGAGTGTGGTGCCAAACAATTCCAAACTGCTTTGTCAGTCTCTAAACAGAGGAATCAGAAGTAAATCCAAAGAAGTGTCAGTCCACTCAACATGCTCGCAGCTGTGAGGTCACTGCAGCTGCACTCGGTATGCTCCTATTAGCAGCTTCACCTGCAAACACAAACAAAGGCTGCATATAAAGATTTATATGTAACTACTGTGTTAAACACTTCTTCTAATAGAAGAACAGCATAAGAAAAAGCATATAATTTCTAGTGACTAAAAAAAAAAAAAATTTACAGTATGTGTTTAATAAAATCAGTTTATAGCAGCTCTACTGAAAGACGAATGGCTTGTAAAAGGACTCAAAGAAAATACTACTGCATCTGGTGGTGTTCGAACAAGTGACCCCCAAAGCTGAACCAGACATACACATACACCTCCCTCTGAATATGCGGTCAATTTTTCCCCCTCTTTTTTAAAAAAAAAAGTGCATAATAAAACATTCAAGAGTAAGTTTTAAATCTGAAGATGTAGCAAATTTACTGGTGTGTCTTCCAAGGATAAAATAAATGCTACCAGAAGAGGATCTGTTATTTATCCTGCAACATGTGGTGGGACTTCTGCCCAAACCACCTGGAAATAAAAGAGACTACACAGACTGTTTAAAAGCAGACTGCATATCCTAGTAAATACTTCCAAAGTTCTGAACACACAAGCAAACACGTTTGTATGAAAAACATAACTGGCTTTCCATGTATCTGTTAGTCATGAGATTCACCACATAGATGGGGAAAATGTCAAGCTGTAACATTACTTCATCCTGGTGCATGAATTATTCCGACTGCAGCATAAAACCATTTAATTATGACAGAAATAACAGCCTTGGCAATGATCCTCAATTCTGGCAATGTCTCAGGATGGAACTGTAACTGATGGAGACTGGGATGAGGAAAGAGTGGAAAGCCCTTAGTTTCACATTTGCAACGTACAACTAGAAGCATTTAGACTATGGAAGAATTATTGTACAACAAATTAACATGCACATTTGATTTTGAGAATACTTTGTACCTTGGCAGTAGGAGCTTCTGCCAACCGT